TAAATTATTGGTATATAAAGTTTTAAAAAAATTCAATAAAAACAATTTGCTTGATTTCTATTGACTCACCCCCATATGTTGATCTAGCTTAAAGTTGTAATAGCAACAGATCAAAAAGATCAAATTTTTTTATAATCACTCTTTCAAAAGCTTCCGAATATATAAGTTTTGTGTGATAGTGCATACATACCGCAAATACGCGTACATAGGTATGTTTATCGTTCATTCGTCCAATAAAAGGATGTAGAATACAAGAATGCGTTTCATTTATGTACCATGCATGTATATGTGTATATGTCGATGCTCATTTGGAAACATCTCATTACCCGGGACTGTGTGTGTAAATTCGGCATGGATATTTTATTGACTTAATTTTGCAGGTACCAATCAAATCTGAGTGTTACCTTTGTGTAGTTTCTATACATGGGTGATGCGGTAATATATTGGTTAAATGTTTATATATATCTATAGTTTAATTTTAAGTTTAAAAGGTTTATTGAACACAAGGGCAGAAGGTCAAACAAAATAAACGTGCGTCATGTCACGTAACGGTAAATCAAAAAAAAAAATAATTTTGCAAAAAAAAAAAAAAAAAAAAAACATTACATTAATAATAATAAATTATAATAAATATATTAAGTTATAAAAGTATTATAAAACCTTCTCTTGTCATTCGTAATCTAAAACAAAAAAGAAAAAAAAAGACGGAGTTCATGCTTGATGATTATAATTGAATAAATCTGCATTTACCATTCTTTCATGACCTTTATATAATAAGCTGACAATTTTCATCTTTCTCTCTTCACCAAATAAAACATTCTTTTTTTTTCGTTTTGTTTGTTTGTTAAATCAGTTCTTCATCTGGTTCATTCAAAACGGAATATTTCGATATTGTTAACAAACTTCCTCCACTCTTTATTATTTCTGCTTAATAAAACTCCTCCGATATTTTTTTTCTCATTATAAGTGATGGGTAATAGGCCATCAAATAGTGTTAACGATGAATCCGGTGCCACTCGTCAAAATGCTTATGTTTGCTTCTTGCCAAATACTCAACCAACTCGATCCGATACTGTATATCGTATGATCGGAACACGCTTGAATGGTAATCTTAAATACCCTCTTCCAAGAAATCTTGAAGAAGAAAAGCATTGGCTACAAGATCCTCATTATTTCATTAGACATATGTGGCAAAACAATTATAGTGCTCCTATTGAAGATAAGCTCAGAGAAGGAAACGCTAAAATCCTTAATATATGGTATGTTAATCTAAACATCAAAAAAATACAAAAAAATACAAATATACAGTATATATATATATATATATATATATATTTAAATATATATAAATATATTGATGTTTATCTTTGTTCTTACAATATGCAGCTGTGATTATGGCACTTGGGCTCTCGAAATGGCTTCCGATTATCCCAATTCTCATTTTATCGGTGTCGACGTCACCCCAATTTTTCCTTCCGCTGTGACCAAACCCAATGTACGATTCTTACAATGTAATGTGTTAGATGGTCTACCATTCGATTCTAACACGTTCGATTTCGTTCTTGTTCGACTTTTTGGAAACACTTTTACCGAAAGAGATTGGGAGGATAAAATTATTAATGAAATCGTAAGATTAACTAAACCAGGTGGTTGGGTGGAATTAACCCAGGTTGATTCGAAATACTACAATTGTGGTCCAAATTGCGAAAGATGGAATGATGCATGTACGTAGATTATTTGGTCTATCATTATATCGATATTATCGATGTTATTTCTTAATATTATTTCTTAATTAATATCTGTTCTTTTTAATGTTATTTTCAGTGTTAAACCATCTAAGACTAAAAAACATAAATGGTTCCATTGGTGAAAGTTTTGGAAGGTTATTGACTTCAACGGGCCAAATGTCCCGAATTCGACATGAAGTTGTCATAGGTCCGGTTGGAAGTTGGGGTCACCGAGCTGGTGAATTGGGTGCATCTTACGCTCGTCAACTTTCTGGAAAAGTGAAGCCATGGGTAATTTCTTATCTAGACATTACTGAGGAAGAGTATAACGAAATGATGATCAAAGCAGAACAAGAGTTCAATATTCATAGGACCTATGCATCAACGCATAGGTATGTTGGTCAAAAAATTATTTCCTCTTAATATCTATAAAGGATTATTTTGTAAAGGATACATATAGTATATATGTATTTCACGTTATTTATCACAAATCTCGCTATTTATATTTATATATTTTTTTAATACCTATTTTAATTCTTGCCGTTTTAAAAATATCAAGGGAATTTAACTCCCTTTTGCTTTTAAAACTTTCTAAAAAAAATTTTTTTTTTATGGTACCTTCCTTAAGTTCTTAGAAAATATTTATTTCTGTTGCTTTTAGTTTCAATAAGATACTGAAATTTAGATAAATTTATATATAGCTTTGACAAAAATTAATAAGAAAAAACTATGAAACAATTTTTTTTTTAAGCTTTATGCTTGTCTTAAAAAAGCTCCTTTTATATGAAATAAAGATTTACAGCATATGGTCTTCTTTTTAATGTTTTGCTTATTATTGGAGCGGAATTTTATTAGTTAATAATGTCTTTGTGGGAAAGCAACTCGCATACATAATAGTGTCTTTGTGGGAAAGCAACTCGCATACATACGCAGTTCTGTAAACGTCGGTCACATGCGCATCCTGAATGCTAAGACAATCGTTTTATTTTATTAACTTTATACGTAATAATAATACGTAATAATAAACGTAATAATAATACGTAATAATAATAACAATAATAATAATAATAATAATAATAATAATAATTGTTTATTATGTAATATTCATTCACATGAAATACATGGAGAATATGTATTCACCTCACTTAAACATTTTCTCCATGCTTAATTATTATGCGTCCTTACCTAAAGCTATGTACCTTAAGTCACAATTAGACATCAATATAATCTCGAAAAAAACCAATTACCAGATATATAGCATGTAAATTCACTCTGATCTGTAAATTCACTCTATCTATAAATTTATTTTTATTTTTATTTATTTATTTATTTCATATTATTACAGAATAATTTTCAACTTAGTTCAATATATATATCAAGCACGATCGTTTTCTATGAGTCGTGTAGCTTGTCCACATGATATGTTAGAGACATCGTTCATGGATACGTAATCATATAGTAATAATCTATCTAAATTTATCAACTTGACTAAGTTGAAATTTAAAAATCGGTTTAGTCAACTATGCCAAAAATATGTATTCCGAATGTTACCAGATCTCATACCGATACATACTTGCCCATTTAAATTGATTGTCATGAATTTTCTTATGTTAAATTCCTGACTTAGTCGACTAAGTCGATTTTATCGGTTAACACCAAATCGATTACAATCACAACCGCAACAATAATTATCACCCAAATTACGGATCATAATAAAATCGGATTAAAATGAAATTGGAGGTTTCTATTTAGTCTCCTAAAACCTACTTATACTTGTATACTATATTCTATCTCTAAAGCTGGCTCTAACCCTAAAAAAAAATGCACCCCAAAATTTTGTATTTTTTAGTGACTTGTCTATTTTATACTACATATTGTACTATACTAAATCTAATCAAATTGATTACGTAACAACTAACCGCCAATTTATTGATCGAAAAAATTTTGCCAATTCGGAGCCTCACTTTGTAATCGATTGATTATTAATAATACATTTTATCGAAGGTCTCACTTTGTAAGCGATTGATTAAAATAGATTTTATTGAAGGAGTTACCTATGCTTCAAGAAATCCCTTTTCCCAATGCATTGAATATAGAAATTCATATTAAGAACCAAATAAATTAAGTCAACTACACGGTCGCATAATATGAGTGTGTGAGTTTGCATACGCACGTAAGTATTTATTTTAGGAGGTAGCCAGATAAGTTATACCATTCAGTGCTTATGTTAGACATGTCGGATAATTTAATTATTAGCCAAGTTGGTAAATTATTTCATGACGAATACTGCGTTATGACGTGCCTTCGGCTAACATCATAAACATAGTATCATCAGTTATAATCTGCAACGTGATAAATGACTATTACTTATTGGGTATGGTGTCTTCAGCTTTCACTGAGTCTACAGATAGTTAGTTCTTAAGGACAATTTATCATGTGATCTACATTACTATCACATAGGGCTGTTACAAGTCCGATCCTTTCGGTCCTGACTCCGTAAATAAGGACTTCGATTAGGACTCGGTCCTTGAGTCGAGTCCGTGCATATAATAATAATAATCA